CTAGTTCCTTTCCTTTGCTATTTTTTGTTTTCACAAGTGAATTCTGTGGCTGCTGAATATTATTGTTTATTTAATAAAACAGGTGAAAGATTTACAAAATAACCTAAGAGTATTTGCCTTTTCATTAGGCTGGGTGTGGGATTTGCAAAAAAGATGGATATGTGACTTCCATCCCCAAAACAAATAGATTATTCCAAGGATACTTGGTGGGTACTTTTTTTGTCTTCAATAAAGCTGAAAAACACAGTGACCTTAATAACTATATTATGGAACTGGGTTTCTTCTCCCTTTTTGAACTGAAAATTTTGGATTTCTACTGAAATACAGATCATGCATTCTAGCAACTAAAATGAAACTTGAGATTCCACACGCCTCTCCTCAGAAGTATGAACAGTTTAGGGCACATCTACACCATGTTCTTCCCACTCCCTAAATGCCCACAAACGAATTTGAACCCAGCTGCCTGAATGGAGAGGACAAAATCATCATCCAATCAATGTCTTGATCCCTGGGTTGTCAGGTCCCCTCATGTTTTTAGTTCATATAGCGTGCATTTGTTCAGTTGATTGAAAAAAAGTGTAGTTGTTATGAGAAAAAGGTTTCTAGCTGCAAGCCTCTTTTTCTCCTTTACTGAAAAGCCTTTGGCAAACTGTGAGGATCTATTCTCTTATTATTCTGGCTGGTTTTGTTGAGGTTCTTCTCCATGTTTCTTTATTTCTGGCAGAGGTATTAAGATGAACTACAAAGAAAACAATGTTCTGAACAATGGTGCCCTGGCTATGGAACACGCTTGCATGGAGGTTTGCCCAATGCTGATAACTCTACAGAATAGGTCACAATTGAAAGCATGTTTATTTATTTAAGTAACTGAACAGATCTTATTGATTTAGTATAATTATTTAGTTCTTAGATTTATATCCTGCTTTTTCTCCAGGAACTCAAGGCAGCTTATAGAAGGTTCTCCCTTTGGTTTATCCTTACAAAACACTGTGAGTAGGTTGGGCTGTAAGAGAGTGATTGGCCCAAAGTCACCCAGGAAGCCTCTGAGTCTGAGGGTGGACTAGAATACAATTTTTTCAAACTGGGTTCTGCAGGAGTAAGGAGAATAAAAACTCTTGTTTGCAAGGGACTAAGACTTAACCCCTTGTGGAAATCTTTTTTCCCTTTAGTCCTTGACATGGTTCTTCAGGAGCATCCATAACAATTTTTTGAAGTAACTGAAGGAGAAAGAAAAGTACAGGGGAAAAGTAGTTTCTGTGGCCTGAAAAATATGAAAACCACTAGCCTAGAACCTGGGTCTTCTGATTCCCAGTCCAACACCTTAATCACATCACCACACTGCATATTCGTCTGCCTTAAAGTTTTATCTTCCATGGTCTTTGTTTTATTTAATTCTGTATGTACCATTTTGGAATCGGATATGATGGAAAGGAGTTTATAAATGTTGGGGAATAAATCAAATTACATTAATAAGAATTGTACTGTTGAAAGATGAAGTAAAATGTTTGTCTCCCCCACTGACATCCATGAGATTAAAAAATGCTTCAATTTGGCTGATCCATATCTACTAATACTACAGTAGTAGACTCTGAAAAGTTTATTTTGACTTAAATTACTGTCATGTTGGGCTCATTATTTCTAAAAATATATAACAGCAAAATCACTTTTCCTTATTTGTATTTTTTTCAAATTCTGTCCTTTCTCTTAGTATAGTCATTCTCTATACCAGGGTTTCTCAACCTTATCAATTTTAAGATGTGTGGACTTCAACTCCCAGAATTCCCCAGCCTGCATGC